ATATGTTCTTCATATCTTACTGACTATTACAATTAGGGTCTTCACTTATTCTTGAAAATAGCTGTCTTCTGGGTAGCCTGGTAGAAGATTACCAATGTTTCAGGGGTCTTTGCTGCCTCCAGCATCAGGGTAACTCATCACTCTGATGACAGAGGCAGCAAAGATGTCAGAAACATTGGTAAACTTCTACCAGATGACACAGTGCTACAACCCAGAAGACAACAAATATTCATACTCACCATCAAAACAATCTCAAATCCTACTCATACTTGTTACTTTCTTACATATTTTCATAAATACTTGTCGGTACTGCCTCAAAATATTCATTTCAGCATCATGAAGGATTTAAATTATTTTAAGTGAAGGATACATCTCTGGGCAGACTTGTGACATAGCATCGAGGTCCTGATCAATAGGATACGCCAAGTGGTAGTCATGAATGAACATTTTCTCAGAGAGGCACTCAGACAGCACTCCCACATAGTCATCAACATGTCTCTTGACTTCAGCCTCCGTTACACTGTCACTATAATGAAACATATTCTATTATTTGACATCAATTAAAGAAGAATGAAAAGAATACAATTGGTAAAGACTTGCAGTACACGTATTTTCCAAATGTATTTCTTGAGAATTTTAATTATTAATGGTCTTGATGTTATTTTATTGTGGATAAAAATCTATCAGAGTACAAATTCAACTCCTAACAAAGGCATATGGATATTACAGTATGAAAGCACAAATTTTTCCTTATATTACATAATATATCCCACACAAGAATTCTTTTATAACGTGATTTTATAAAGCTCAATTTGAGATTTACATAAAACAGGGGCTTTATCTGGGCAATACAGACTAAAATGGAATTCACCTTACAATGTGTAGTGTAGATACTCAATATAAAATTTCAAAGAATATTATAGAATACTTTTAGAGATTAAATATGGGTAGCTGAACACTAGGGCAGTCCTCAAAATCCAAAGTTTGAGTTTCCTCCATGGTACACCATACTCTTTTTATATCTACAACATAGCATTGCACGTAAAATTTCACCTTCACTGGACAACATTCAGAGGTCACTCAATGCCATCATTTATTATTGCCATGTAACTCTGCAGAAAGAAGTAACATCACCCTGAAGTACAGTGAAACATTATCCAGATAAAAATGAAAATAAATACAAATAAAACATCATCATTGTTCATCAATCAATCAAGATTATGTATGCAATGCTGATCAGTCACGGCAGTATAATAGTGTTTCTGATCAATGGTTGGCAACACCTAATAAAATCATTTGAAAAGACAAATTTGTGGGCCATTCGATGGTCCCACACAGTGTCTGAAGATATTTCTTAGAATTACTTGCTGTACACAACGCCAAAATTCAAGATGATGAAGGAAGCCTCTTCCAAGTTCAAATTTTTATTAAATGGCAAACAACATTCTAGAATATTCTAGTGTACTCTATACCTCAAACAATATTCTACCATACAAAACTTTTAACAAACCACAGCAATCAAAAGAAAAGACATGCTCAGTATCCATAGCGATATTCTATAAACTCTGTAAAAGCAACAGTAGTTAATAAGCATTTACATGGCTTGAGTAACCTCTAAACATTATTTGATGTAAGTTAAACTAGTGACTTCAACAAAAATGTTAAATTTGGTGAAACTTAATTTATTATGAAAACTTGGGGGCCATCTCAATAAACACATGATATGTATTCAATTCATGTGTTTCATACAAAGACTGCATAATAAACATTTGCAATGTATGTGAATAAATGTCATCTGAAATAAGGCATCCTACTGATAAAGCATTTAATGATTATAGCTGCTTAAGCATATTTCTGAAAACTTTTCACTCCAATCTTCTGCAGTTCAGCAATCACTCCTCAACTGCTTAATTTGCTGTATGGAGCATGAACTATAAGCAGAAGTAAAACAGAAGTGTACCTGTAATCATTTGGCTATCAAACGATTCATAGTACAAATTTTTATGAGATAATTAATCATATTTTAAAACAATAATTTGCTAAACAATAGAAAATATCACACTTAAAACTAAAGTAAAATCTTTTTATGTACTACTGAAAAATTTTACATGCCAGATAATAAGGTGTTTACATTTCCATGATATTTTCCAACAATGTTTGGGGTCTAAACTTTCAGTTTTGCAAGTATTATAGCAGTTGCCAAAATGTTTCTGTAAATAGATAAGCAAGGAAGTACTCACATTTTCTCCAAAAAGGAATTGAGACTTGTTGCCATGCAGTTGCGGAAAACTTTCAGCAACTCCACTCGCATTACGTCCAACTTGTGTTTCAGACTGACATAAATAGGCTGTGTCTCATCCTTATTTCCCAATATCTCCAGTTTCCTGTACATCTGTGGTACTGTGTTTTCATAGAAATGCACTAATCTGTTAACAAAGATTGTTTCTATACATTTTTGCTGCAGTTTGTTTTGGTACAATTACAGTGAACAGAAGAAACAGCACTGACTACAATACAGATTAACACATGAAGTATTTGGCCTGATTCTCATTTTGTGTATCTGTAAGATTTGTGCATATAATGTTCTTGTAATGTAACCTCATTTGTTGCATTTTTATTTAATGATACTCTGCCAAATACATTTGTTACATCACATTGAATGAAGAAGTCATGAAGATAAAAAATATAGAAGGAAGCAGTTATAGCCTATTTTGAGGCAAGATCTCAGAATTAGGAAATACACAAAACCTCAGACAGTATAGTAAGTTCTCAAACAAATTATGACTCAAAACTCTCCAAATATGAAGCATGAGTGCTAACTACATGGCAGTCAAAGCTTATATAGGCCACTCCCCCATATATGTCTATGTTGCAATATTAGAAAAACATTCAGAACAAATATTCCAAACATTTAGATGTCATGACATGTCTGCAATAATAAATCTGATATTTGTCCGTGACCAATGTCCTTTATGAAATAAATCCTGAAGATAAAAACCATATGTTTCTCCAAAACATTTGTACCTACCTGCCAAATCCACATGACATCACAACCCAGGACAACATTGTCAATCAGTTGATTAAACATGAGATTTGAGGTACTCACGGTGACGATGATGATGATCTTTTGGATTTGGTGCCATGTGGACTGGCTGGTAGATGCCAATGTTTTGGAGAGAATGCTGTCCCCATTCTCCATCTTCAGCCCCAAAATGCATCTCTAAAATGTTGGCATCTACTGGCCAGTCCACATGGTGCCAGAACTCAAAAAACACACACACACACACACACACACACACATACACACCAATAGTTGATTGAATGACCAACAGAAATTGGTTATCAATAAATATGCCACAACATTTAATTTACAATATTGCACTTGGATTGTTAAATACGAGTTTCAGTTTCATGGTAGCTTGGCAGGTCCCTTACACTTACTTCATTTCAAACAGCTGTTGATGAAATATTTTGCAGGCTGGGTTATATAAATCTAGAAACAAACTCAAGTTTGCTGCACTGTCCAGTGTATACAGCACCATGTCCTTGAATTCAAACAGAGTCATGTCTTCATGCTCATTAGGTCTCTCTGAGAGTTTCATCAGTTCTCCCTCTGGCAGCTTCCGGCCACCAAACTTGTTCTCTATATATCTGAAAACCTAAAGCCAAGGAAAGGGAAAATCTAACCCATGTTGCAAGAAAAACTGCAGGTGTGAGGAAAACTGAAGAATAAATTATGTTAAGCATACAACAATATAATAACCATATACGAATTCCACGTCATATTATGTATATATAAACATTCACAATCATGAGTATCTCATGATATGGACATAATACAATTAGATGGTGATAATGAAATCAAAGAATATGACAAAATTTCAGAATTATTTAAAATAAAAGTCCTATATATAGGTTATACTGTGTTAATAACGCCAGTTCATGAAAGTCACTCAGTGAAACTGGACTGCTGTGATATTGTGCTCAGTTGGCCTTAATTTCATTACCTTACCTTGCAGACAAAAGGAACAGACTTTTTAAGGTCTTCTTGATAATTAGGTTGTATTTCAAATACAGTGTCAATTATATGAAGAACCTGTGTCCTGTTCTCTCTGCCATAAAACATGCAGATGTCCAGAATTATTGGAATGGTAAACACATAATTGTCATATATCAGCTTGCCGAGATATTCTGGCGAGATGAATTCTGTCTGTAAATATAGTGATAAAATAAAACATGTATAGAATGTAGATGTCGTAGTGTACTTTTGTATCACACAAATTCAGTTCTAGTTTAAAACAGATGTAACAATAATTTTGATTGGTGACCTTCATAATTTTTACTCTTCACCCAACATTGTCAGAAAGATCAAATCACAGAATGTGAGATGGGCAAGGCATTTGGCACACATAAGCAACATAAGAGAGACAAAATTCAGTCTGAAAACCTAAAGGGAAGAAATCACATGGGAGACCAAGACATAAACAGATTACTTTCAAATGGATCTTAAAGCAATGAGATATGCAGATGTGGACTGAATTTATCAGGCTTTGAATTGAGTTCAGTGGTGAGCCCTTGTGAATAAGTTATGCAGTAATGATTTTCTGAGTTCCATAAATGGTGGCAAACATCTTGACTAGCTGGGTAATCATTAACTTTTCAAGGACTCTGTTCCATTAAGCTAATTAACAATCTTAGATATGGGTAAATACAGTATTCTTCTTAACTGATTATTTTAAATGTAATTTTTTAGTATTTCACACTTGCAATATCAAGTCTGTAGATCCCACAGTCACTCCACTTTGACAAAACTTGCATCACTTGCCCTCATCTTCAGATGTTCTAAACAAACTACACTTACTTCAGATTCTTTGTATGTGGCAAGGCGAGTTAACACAAGAAACACCAAGTAATAGGTCTTCTGGAAGCTGTTCCACATCTCATCATCCTGAGGAAACTCTTCCAATGCATAATATGGAGGTGCACCTTGCAAGAATGACAGTACTACATCCAATGTGTTTTCACTATAGATTATTTGTGACCAAAATCTAAAATCAGATGAAAAATATAAGATGATCAACTAAAACTCCTCCAGACTGACAAGTCTAAAAAACTAGCAGAGCATTTAAAAAACTATATTCCAGTTTTCAGTCAGCCATCATAAAATGTCACATATACTGAACTAAAACTGTGCAGATCATTCTAGTTAGTTGAAAATACAATTCAGTGAGAACCCCAATGAAATTATAAAATTGATGACAGAACCACATTTATCCAAATACCATAAGCATCTATTTTCTAAAAATGTTGTATAAGAAATGGCCATCATATTCAAGGATTAAATTTGCATAGCACAAAATACATGTGGGGAAAAAACTAAATGCAGCTCCAAGACATCCTTCACACAAGCTGTATTGCCTGTTGGATGAAATAAGAATATAGTCCTAAATAGATCATTTTAAATGTACTGTTCTTTCAGGAGTATTACAGACAGCATCTTACTCAGTAACTAATAAGCACAGAATCCAATCTCCCATTATGCAACATTCTGTTTAAGTAGCAAGGATTAGCATTGTAATGCCTTTCCTGAAACACATAAAGTTACATACAGATCCAGGGAACTTTTAATATCAAAATATACCTGAACTGTTCCAGCTCAAGCAGCCACATGAGATCAGCATTCAAAAACTCCATTCTTTCCAGCCAGGCTTCTTTAGCACCCAACGGAAATGAACCATCAGGACCACCGGTGGGTGGTGGCTTGTAGCACAAGTACTGCCGCTCTTCTGCCCATCCTGGGTGCTGCAAAATGTACTCTGATTGGTTGGATCAACTTCAAGTTAATTTTCTTAATTCTGATGCTTTCTAATTTTAGTTTTCAATCACGTTTCATCAAACAAACTATTTGGACTAAACAGTGTAAAGACACAATGAATATGGAAATATGACAAAATAATGCAAGGCTCAGTATTTCCTCTATACTCTCACGAAATATTTTCTGTTAATGATGGTTTATACACTTTCCATTTACAGATCCTTAGAGTGCCTGCAACATAACTCTAATCTTGGATGACTGTTACAATTGCACATAAGGGATTTGGTGGGGGATAGGAAAGGTGAGACCAAAAGGTAGAAACACATAATATAGAACCCAGTCCTTCCTTGTACACAAATGGATGTGAAATTATTATGTTTTGGCTGCAGAAGTAGCATGTGTGGGTTAAGGCATGTGCCTGCATCACTAGTATTTTATAGTTCTTTGTTTCAGAAAATACATTGTAGTGTTCAAGTCAGTATATGAAAACACCACCAACTGTGAAGAAATTAAAAGGGGAAAAATGTTTTTAGTTATATTATACATGCTTCAACAGGCTCGTTGCTGTCTTGCTCTTTCCATCTTCCCTTCACCTCTTTCAGTGATGTAGCTGAAGCTCACAGTTATGTTATGGCCATTGTACTGGTATGTTTTATGTAAAAAAAATGCCATTTGACTTCCAACATATGTAGCTATATTTACCAGGGCAGGAACCTCCTTCATTACTCCATGCCTCACAGCAGAGACTTTCAGTTCTTCAAGAGGTGTGCAGTTGTTCTGAAAAAGACAAGATATCAACATCATATGTGTAAACAACAGAAATAGTAATTAAATGTAAACAGTTTTGGGTCCAGTTTACGGAATATATGTACCACAGAACCACATCTCTTTATCAACTATTTTCGTCCTGTAATTATTTACGAAACCTTTCCGGTTGCTGCTCACCATTATTACCATTCTTATTACCTTAGAGCATACAGTTGTAATATTCAGGTCCTAATTTGATTTAGCTCATTACTAAGCACTTCAAAGACTAAGAAAGACGGTAAACGTGGCGTGCATAAAACTCAATTGCGCTTATAAAATATTTCATAAAATGTTAAATCTATTGTACCTTACGGTGAGATTTTGTTGATAAAAATATTTTTTACCTGTTCTCTATTCCTCTGATTTGACATTTCTTTTCAATGTTTCATATTTCGATGTATTGTCTTTCTTAAAAATTATATAAATTAAAATCAACCGATCTGTATTTTATTCATATATTTCAGACAAGAAAACACCCATCTTCCAACACATCCACAGTACTGATAACACACTCAATAAAATTCATATAACTGTTCAAGGCATAACCAACATCTATTCGATATCTTGAATTTGAATGACTCTCTGATCATGTTTGGTTATATATATTGTTCATGAGCAGATTTATGTAATCTGTGGTATGGGGTGATTTATGTAATCTCTTGTGAACGTGGTTATGAGCACGCTGGGTTGTTGCAGCATGAAGTTTGGTAGAAGTTTGCTGGCGTTTCAGAGGTGCTTGCTACCTGTCTTTGGGGCGGAGCAACCCAAAAGTCATTTTCATACTCTCCAGTCTAAGAACCTGAAATCTCACATGCTAATGACAATTCAGATACCATAAAAAGCATTGAAATTTCATAACTACTTGGGCTCACTGCAAGGAGTCAGTTTTATATTAAATGTTGGCAACAGAACTGAGTCGAAAAAAGTCACGGCAGTTTCTATGAAGAACGAATCCATGTACTGGACTAAACCAAGTTATATACCATGCTTTAACATTTAATTAACAAACACACCATACTACCAATGACCTTCCGATTACAATTTGTACATTCCTTGAATTTTGATAAAGTAGTTGTGATAGACATACAAACGTGCATGTTTAATAGTCTTCAGTGTCGTCAATCAATGTTTGTGTACGGAGGCACCCAGGAACACAGATAATACCAACCCCAGGAACATAGATAATCTAATACCTATCATATACTCCATCATAACCTTAAAAGCGATTACGTCAATGTGTCCGCAGGTTACGTTCTTGTTAAAAGAAATTATACAGGTATATGACGAGAACTACTAGTTGGCACTTTTTAAATCTCATAATGGTAAATTTAAGTAAATCACAAGTTAAACAGGATTCTAAGAAAAAACGGGTTACATTTTCAGTTTGTACGGATAAACGTGATGGTTATTCGAAAGAACCGACGCAGAGGCCAAATGAATTGTCAAATAAGTTACCAAAGTACATGGACGAAGACTGTGAACATGGTAATGAATCTCGGAAATCTGAAATTGTTTCTCACAAAAACACGGGAATATCAGATGCAGTGAATATTTTAAGTAAAGGATATGATGTCAAGAAAACTTTGGTTAGAAATGTCGAACAGGCTTTACCGCGGCATTGTGCACTTGTAAGAGGAAGACCGCATCCTTCCATTCCAATAGATATCACACATAACAAACTTGGGACAGATATAAAATCTAGTTACAAGAGCAAATACGCTTCACCAGAACTGTATACAACATTGTGTATAGCAAAAGAAATTCAGAATACTGCAAGGACCGATACAAAACCAAGTGGCTTTGCCATTACTCCAGCAGTTAAACAGGTGTTGGATGCAAAGGTATTGATGTTTTCATAATAGGTTTTGACCACAGGATCTAGTGTTTAAAGTTTATACTTACAAAAGTCAATTCCACCTCCTACTTTGATTCCAATTCAGAATCATACCTTCAAAATATGTATTAGTCGTTTATAAAACAGTAACTCAAGCCATGTTGGAGGGATTCCATTCTTAGATGTTACTATTATCCTCCCATTCCTAGTTTCCAAATTGTAACTTCAAGTAGTTTCAACTACAAAAGAAAATTAAAACATTTGTTAATAGTTTGTTTTAATATTTAATGTCAGTGAAGTACACAAACTATTTATTTTGGCCATTGTTTTGCTTTAAGTGTGGCACAAATTGTTCTCACTGTTGGGGCTGTGAAATGCTTGGTTACTCACCATGGATGATTTATTGGAGACTGGAACTGTGCCCATTGTTATTATTGTTTCAGACTTTAAAAAAGTTGAACTTTCCATTTGAAGAGAAACTGTACAAAGACCTTATCTCACTGACAGTGTGCAATGAGGAACTCATTGGAAATGATGGTAGGTCAGGGGGCCGGAGGGAAGTAGAATTCAAACAGTGCAAGGACCAGGAACCTCAGCTGAAAGACTTCTGTGCCTTGTCAAAAGGAAAGGAATACAATATGGTGGAGCAGCCAGTGCCCTGTGGAATGAAGAGGATAAGGAGATACAATGGCTTCACTTTATATGAAAGGAATCAGATATGGTTTTGTGATGATTAAGGGTCATTTATATATATTTACAGCAAAAATGATGATGTAAAAGTTAACATGATAGTGATGACAAGACTACAAAACAATGTATTTTGAAAATAATTTCATTCTAATATAAACTGATTTTTTTATTTGGATTGGAGTGCCCTTCCTTTTTCAGTTCCTGAGTGTCAGTATATTTGGGGCTTAGGTCTCAAAGTAGGCTCATCTTGATTGAACAAAGTTAACATCGACCAGACTACACAGTGCAACAACCCAGAAGACGGAAATCTTCATACTCACCGCTGTGAGAACCTCAAGTCTTACAAGATTATTTCACTGGACTTGTCACTGCACTTATGCCCACATCACACTTTGGATGCTATATAGCAGTTTTTTGAAATATCTTTCCCTTTTGAGTATTTTGTATGCACAACAAAAAAGTGAATTTGTGGTGTAATGTTGTGCTCAGCCAAGAATTCCCCTATGAAGAGCCAACTGTCACAATTCACAAACTTGACTTCCATCTTTTAGGCTGTTTCCATTGATGACGGAGAATATTAGAATGCCTGATTGGCTATCATTAACTGTTCCTCAGTGCATAATGATAATGGACGACCAGGATATACATTCTTTGATGGAAATTATTTTTGTGTGACCAAGATTCCTCTACAAATGCACCTCATATCCATGACCATCTTATGAAGATAGTTTCATGTCAGACATTTCACAAGTGATGAGTGCTATGAATATAAGTACTGTATACATAATATTTCACCCACAGGTAATATAGGGCAGAAACTTCCCTCCAGCTGTGAACATCAGTTGAGTCTGTTCCTATATGGTGTTACCAATGTAAAATCCTAACATTTCATTTGATGCTACATAATACTGCAGTGTTAAATATCAGTAACAAAACTTACAAATTTGAGACCACAGTATCTGGCTGTGCAAGAAGGGTACAAATAATACATGCTAACATATTTAAACATTTTTAGTCTTTATAATATATACTATTGAGCAAATGACTTCAGTGCTGTTTCAGGAACACAAACATAGTTCAAAATAGGCCAATACAAAGTATGCCAAACATTAAAATTAGCATCTTAGTCCTTACATATAACATACTATATACATTTTCTATCATAGATGTAACATTTCTACATGAACCAGTGTACTGAACTTTGAATATGTGCATTTTTTTGTGGAAATAAAGTTTTGTTATGCAAAAATTTATTGATATATGTTTACATTACCCAGGCAGGCTGGAAAATCACATAATATTAACCATTTTGAGTTCTACATGCTTTTATAGGAGCACCTGTTTCCACACCACCAGTGCTATTAGCTACTCTAGAGACTACTGAAGTAATATAATCTGCCCTCTATAGGAGAGGTACAGAACCTTTTAGTGGCACAGCAACACTTCTCAGTTTCACTGATAAGATATGCTTTGTGAAAAATAGGCTTGTCAGTTGGCAATGGTAAACATGGAACACATAAATAATGACAATGATAATGTATACAGTGATGACAGTAATGAAAAAAGATGCCTGCAGAGTCAGATTTAGAATAACAATAAGACAAAAATTAGATGCACGTATTAAAATCACAACAAAACTTAGAAACGTCAACAAAATACTCAGCACGGGGTATCAAAGAAATTTGTTAAAAAAGTAGTACTTAAAATGGGTTTATGACAGCAGACCCAATACACAAATTTGCAATTCATTAATCACTACAGAAACTTAATTACACCACACATAAAATGCAACAACATATATGCATCAACTACATCAAAATTCATCCAGTACTTATCCTAGCATCTACTCTAAATTCTTGGTAACACATGTACAGTATACAGTATAAGATACCACTCAACTAGAGAATTTCATTACCATTATCACTTACCAGAGGTAACATTTGAGGGGGCACTTTTACTTAAAAAACTATTAAGTGCACATTTTCAGAAATATTTGGGAATCAAGAGAGCAGTGGAGAAGGTTGGTAATTTGCTTAATATTGTTCATGAGATTGTTCATATAGAAACTTTACTCTACATCTAAACTGGGGGGGGGGGGT